GGGGTAGGCGCGATCGGTGACGAATAGATTTTTGCCTGAATTCAATTTGACGCTGTTCATTTTATACAAGCATTTTGGGAAATGATCAGATTTCCATCTCGTTAATAAATGCGTTCAATCGTGAAGCTGCTTTTATAAGAACCTTGAAAGTTTCCGGTGGTGTAGCCGCTCAGCCATAGAATGGCAACGATCGTGATTAACAATCGCGCTTGCGCGAGCGTCGCCTCGCATGGAACGAAAAGGTTAATTGGTTTCCGGGGATAGAGCAATCAGCGTTCGTCTCTCCTGTTTGTTGTAATTACGATGTCAACGAAATAATGCTCGCTCGTACCCCCGCGCAACGGCCACCCTTTGCTAATTATCGATGATATCTGACTTTAACCGAACGGCACAGTCGTGCCCGGATTAATTTCGACACGGACTCTTGGATAAATTAGTTTATTATGTTTACCGTCGACTGCCTTTTCAGATCCCGTCCGCGTTTAAGCGTTTTATTCCCTGATTGCTCGATATTATTTGAAAAGTATCGGCCGCGAGTTGAACGCGAACGTAACTCGGATGAATGCCATTGTGCAGCTATTGTTACATTATTATTGTTACCATTCGTAACTAAAAGTCTAAAAAACGTTGATGAAAACGATTGTTTGAATTGTTACTGTATTAACGGATGTTTTATACGAATGTACATTGTATTTTAACCAGAGTTAATCGCGCGTTCTCCAATCTTCGGTCGAACAGATGTTTGCGGTAATAGTTCACCAATACCGAAATTAAATCTTCCGGAACTAAATGAGATTCGATTTTTTCTTCTTTGCATAATAAGAAGTTTCCTGGTGCCAAAAAAAAAAGAAAAGAAAAATAGACGAAGTAATATGGACAGGTTCGAACGGAAATTAATTCCGTGGAACTTAATGAAAGTGTTTTAATGAGAACGAAGATTGAGGATATAAAGCAATCGCCACAAAGAATTTTATCTCGTTCAGAAGGGAGAAAGAATGAAATAAATGAGAATCGGGTAAGGGTAGAAAAATCGGTGCGGCGTTAATCCTAAAAGTTGATCAATGGGAAAAGCGACAAAATTCTTTTTCGTTAAAAGGAATAGCAAACGGTTTTGCCATTTTTAATGAAAAAGATGGACGGTTTTTTAACCAGACAAAACATGTAACGCGCGTGGAGGTAGGGTCGGGGTAGTAAATCTTTCGATAAACAAACAAGAGCTCGTAACAAAGGGAGGTTATTTCCTTTTTTCGTCTATCCGTCGGTCTTTTTAATCGGCTTAGGCAGTGTTTTTTCGACGTTTATACGCGACCATCTCTCGCAAATTTATCCAGGAAAGGTACGTACAATGATTGGGAAACGGCGAAAAAAAATGTTACATTTTCCCCGCGGCCTATCTTTACGGATTGAGTGGGAATAATGTCGGGTGGAGGGGGTGGTGGCAAACGTTGCCGGTTCGACTGGAAACGATCGCCGTTAGTCAACGGATCAGAGAGAAAGAAGAAGCGTTCGACTTTTCTTAGCTGGAAAATCGTTCGCCGTTTAGCCTCCCTTTTGGCGGAAGGGAGAAGTTTAGATACTTCTACTTACTAGAGCGGGATCTTCTCGTTCGCTTACGGGTGAGCGAGTAAGCAGGTATTAAGGGCTTAGACCGCAGATCGAATCCCATACCTTAACGCCTTCACGCGTTTCCCTCCTTTTTTCTCTGTTTTACCATTCCGACGCGACTATAGTTACACCGTTCCTTGTTCCTATGTATCTCCCCTAGCGATCTCGGCTTACCCGATTTCCTCTCATCATTTTCCTTAGCAATTTTCCCAACCGATATCTCTTTGCTTTTTAACGATCGGAAAAACGTATAAATCGTAATCGACAATTGGGGAATGGACCGGACGCGGGCGAAAACACTTTGACGGATGAAGGGCGCGTGACGCATGTGGGGTATTTCGTTTAATTGCGATCCATTAAGCTTACACCATGCTCGAAAACAATTGGCCTAAAAAAAATAGGGTAATAAACGTCATGCTCGGTGGATCGTCAACGCACCGGCGCTGTTTTCCCCGGCGACAAACGAATTTTTTCGTGTATTCCTACCCACTTTTTTTACTTTATTTCCGTATTTTTAAACCTAGTGTAGCAGGTGCGAAAAAAGATAAATATTCGCGTACGGCGAATGTAAATTCGCGTCGAATTGGACGAGAGCTCGCATGAATTTAAACCGAGCCGGAGGTTTGCATGTAAATTTTGAGAGACACCGGGTACAAGGGGAGGCGGGTGACACGAGGTGCAGCTGGGGGTGGCGGGCTGGTGGCGAGCCAGGGGTGAAGTGGACATGTAAATTTTATTGCAATCAGCTATTGTAAACAGGATTAGCGCGTGGCTGAAAACTACTATATTTGTCCGGGAACGAAATTTCCTATAACTATGAATCATACCCGGTGTCGCTTTCAAACGAATTATACTTCTATCCAAGACACGAGATCTGATGAGAACGGATTTCCAGAGATGGCACATTTTTTTTTCTCGTTCGTTTATTTCCCGGACTATTTTATATTCGACGCCGATGGAGTTTAATAAAGTGCAGCCAGAGAAGAGGAGACGAGGGAGGGTAACAACAAACACTAATTAGAGAAAGAAAAACGGAATGAGAGGAAGCAAAGAAAACAGAGGGACGGAGGACGAAACCGTTGGACAAATGAGAAGCGAGCGTGGAACTCGCAAAAAGAAGTTCGTGTCAACGTTGAAAAACAAAAAGGAGAAGGAGAAGAAGAAAAAAGAGAATGGAGGCAACGCGCAGCCAGTAAAAATAAGTAGAGTCTGAAATAGAGAAATGGGAGAAACTAGAAGCGTGTGCGCTAGGGGGGGTAAAAATGGAGGAACGGAAAGGCTAGAAAAAGGGTTGAACCGGCTACCGACTCGGCGAAGAGAAAAATATGGGACGAGAGAAATTATGTGCGAAATAGTGGAAAACTTACCCCTTCCGAGGGGGTGGCTGCGGGGTGGAGGAGGTGTAAAAAATCGAGAAAGTACGTGAGCTGGGAAGGAACGAAGAATTAAGGAAACTTGCGTTCCCGAGAAACGACGCTAGGAAGGGTCGAAGTTGGCAAAGGCATGGTCGAAAATCTGAGAACGATTGAGATTTAAAATCTTAATAATAATAATTTCGACGAATAAGTAAATTGTATACGTTTCGTCTGGAGAAGCAGTAATCGTCTTACAATTAATACGATTAACTCGCGGTAATAGACAATCGATAAAGTTGATGAGAAGCGATCGAAAGAGCAACTGAAAATCGCGAGAAGGAAGCATAAAGGCAAATAGGCAAAGGACTTCTAAAACAAAAGCCGAGAACGCGAGACGACTTCCGGGAGATGATTCCCAGCCGTATACTACTGCGTAGGAGCGGGTTGTGCGAGGGATTTCGACCCTCTCGGCCGGAGAGAATCGCGCTAAACTTTAGCCTTCGGGGTGAGATATGCAGAAATTAAATATTCATTTGGACCACCAACCCTCCGAACTCTGTTCTCACCCCCTATTCTCTGGAAAATAATGTTTTGGCCCGAGGCCAGTTTTAGCGTTCCACTGCCACCAGTCCTCTTCCTCCTCGCCGTTTTGTTCCGAAGGAAAAGACGTCGAACAGGGGGGGCTTGGAAAAGGTGGCGCACCGCGATACAAACTACCCCTTTCCTGTGTTCACCCTTATATCGTTTTCCGTTCACCTTGTTTCCAATTCTCGCCCCTCGATATTCTCGATTCACCCTTATCGCGGTTCAGGGAAACCTGTTGAACCGTCCCATCGATTCCCCGTTTACGTAATTAGAAGGAACAAGAATGCCAAGTAGAATGTGAAATCCTAAAGCGGATATCGAGGGATATTGAAATTCTGAAACGTATCTTATAACAAAGTCGTAAAACGCGTCGCGCTCTACGTATTAAACTACCGGTTTATCTCGACTCTCGATAAAACCGACGTCTCCTTTTACCCTACAGTTTCACGGATTATCGAAATTGGAAAAGGGTGGTCGGGAGAGCAGTTTCCAGCTTAAAATCTGATAGTTCCCGTTTCTCAAAGAGAAAACAAAGCCGAAGGCGGGTGGGGCGAGGCGAGGCAGAGAGCGCGTTGTTTCGCGTCGAGGCTGCGAAAGTACGAAAAGTATACCGAATAAAGATAAAAGGCGGCCCGGTGACAGGCTTTCGATAACAAATATACGGGACGTGCGCGCGGATGTATCTATCTGCCTAGCTTCGTGCAGGGTATGAAGTTCCTCCCCTTTGCGATTTAAATAAAATAAAGCTTAGTGTCACGAGTGAATTTTAACGGAAACGTTTCAAAGGACTGGGTTATACGATACGTACTGGCATATACGAGCGTACCGAGAAAGAAAGGAATCTATAGATGACAGGGACGAAGGGGATCGGTGGAAAGACGGATAAAGATATTTGCTTGGAAACGCGGCATCGCGCATCAACTTATCGAGTGCCATACGTCCGACGCAATTTACGGAATCGATTATACGAGCTTTCATAATAATTTGCTCTGCACTCAGGCTGATATCAGTCATTGAATTAGGAGTGATTTCCATGCAATTCTAAATAGCGACTCATCGATTGCCCGTTATCATTTCCATATGAATGACAGGATCAAATGGATTGATTTCATTATAAATTTTGCTATAACCGTGGCACGTCGTTCATACGTACGCGAATGACAGTCGTATTTGCGAAACGATTATTTCGTAGAATGAACATAGAATCAATTCGTACGCGATGCGTTAAAATAAGTTTTTTAATTAGATTATAAAATGTTGTATTATAATCTATCGTCGGCTTTGTTATAAAATAGATTCGAGATTTGCTCGTGATTACGCTTTCAGTTTATATATAAGCTTTTATAATTTATGATAATATATTATTGTATATATAAGCTTCTATTTATTAATATTAATAATTTAATTATTCCAGAATGATATCAATAGGGTGAACGAATCTTTTTTTCGTTACAGACATCAGCATTTTGGAGAATAAACAAGGAAAATCGAATCCGAGGGGATGAAGGAGAGATGAATGGATTTCAGAGCGTTACGCGACGGGGAAGGGTAAGTTATATTACGGAGTCAGCATGAGAAAGAACAGTAGGCTCACTCACGGTGTCGGCTTCTATGATCTCATGACCAACAGATTCGTCATGTTGTTAGTTGTGCATGGGCTCTAATTTGAAAGCCACATAAAACCATGACCTGACACATTACAAGATCGTGGGTTAAACAGACTCAATTGTTATTGGTATGCAGCTGTAGTTGTCAGATACAAGAAAGGCCCTACACAATTTCCTTCTACCTCCACTCGTTAAGGATGTATAGGCNTTTGAAAAAAAAAAAAAATTTTTATTTTTCCGAGAATTTTCTTAGGGGTACCCCTTTAAATTTTGCGAAATTTTCGTTTTTTGCCAATAACTCCCAAACTGTTGGATCTACGGGAAAATTGCACAAGACCTTTTTTGTAGAGGACGACGAGATCTACAATTTCCATATAAAACTTTTGCACTAGCGTCAATAGTTTACGAGTTATTGACGAAAAACGAAAAAACAGTTTTTCGCAAATTACTCGTAAACTATTGATGCTAGCGAAAGAGTTTTATATGGAAATTGTAGATCTCGCCGTCCTCTACAAAAAAGGTCTTATGCAATTTTCCCGTATCTCCAACGGTTTGGGAGTAATTTAGAAAAAACGAAATTTTTTTCCAAAAGTTCGCCGTTTCGATGGTGAGACGGTCGGATTTCGTTAATGCCAATAAAATGCCAATTAACTGCACTTAACTCGTTAAATACTGGAGTTAGGCAAAAAATACGTAGAACCTTTCTTGTAGGCAGTATCTACAACTTTTATTCGAAGCATTTTCCGGAATTTTGAGAAAAAATTGTTTCAAGATTTTGTCGAGTATCCCTACAGATTTATCTAAAACTCCGTTTATTGTCAAAAGTTGCTTACCTGTTGCCGCTAGCGAAAAACGTTTCAAACGAAAATTGTGAGTACCGTGACAAGCTACAAATTTCGTACCCCTTTAATTATAAATATTTAAATATTAGTAGAGTTGTTGGTTGTACAATTTTGTCATCTGCAAGAGTCAATTAGTTGTATACTTTTTAACAGAGTGAATCTACTGGTCTTTCCTATACCGTGACGGAGTTGTCATAATATTTTTCAAATCGTTGAGCGATTACTGTCGCGATTATCAACATCCCACGATGCGGTTCTTAAATCGTACTTCGGGCGAAGAAACAACTTATGACATTTGATCGAATATTCGTTTTCTCAGCAATTTATTAAAGTTATCGTGCAAATTTACGAGGATACGTGAATCTGAATATACGCGGCGCCATAATAAGCCCGATTATTTGCAGTATCACGTACATAAACATACATACATACATACACGCGACATGCATATGTGCATTCTCGTTCCGCGGCTGTACGCATGTACGTTTAATCCTTTCCCTCATCAAGATTCATCGAGCTGCCTTTAATTTCGTTTTAATTTGCATCAATACTCCATGCGGTGTTTATTTCCCGGGATTATTTACCATTTCGTTCAGCAAACACAAGAAATTTGCCGGGTATCGATCAAAAATGAAGGCAGTCGAACTCATTCCTCGTTTATAGTACGTGAACAGTTTACTATTTCATTTTTGTACGAAAATCGGTCATGGGATTAAAAAGACAAATGTTCTACAAAGGTATGTCGTAACCAATTAATTTCAAAATATATTTCGACCATTTTTTTTCTCGGATGGAATTATACTTTTGTCATCATGTTTCATTTAATTTAATCTGTAGTTATTGTGTGGCGAACAGCGCGCGCGCGCGCGCGCAATAGAGAGAGAGAGAAAGAGTGTGTGTTTCGGTTCCACTATCATAAATTCTCTCACGCTCTCGCCGTTAGGGGCTAGGTACTCGTATATTCTGATACATATCCTAGGAGAACTCGACCTTGTTCCATCCGTTCCCTACCCCGCACAACTCCCTCTTTCCCTCCGCCGGTTTCCCATCCGGCAACCAACCCATTTCAAAGCACTCTCGCGGTTACTTCGGTTCACCCCTTGCTGTACCGGGTATATCGTGAATTCCGATATTCCAGACCGCACTCACTTCCCTATATTTCTCTATCCATCCCCTAGTATTTGTGCTTCGAGCATCAACTTAACCAGAAATCCCTACGAGGAGAATTCCTTCGGATTTTAACATTTATCCTGGCCCGTCACCGTCACCGTCACCGCCCATTTGTTATTCGTTTAACGCCGCGCGTCGTCGCGGCGACGATTTTACGACAGATCGACGTTCAACTAAAAATAATACTCTTCCGGCTCGAGGACAGTTACACGCCACTCTTTTAACCAAATGACAAAAACTGTGGACAACGAAAAGTTCTTATTAAATCTACTTTTCGCTGATTGTTTCGATGACTTTTTCACATGGGAGAAGTTTGGAATGAACCGAGAAAAAAGTACTTTACGTTTTTAGCTTTAATTCAAAGGCTGTTCCACCGACTGAGAGATATTTGCTTTTTATCAAGGGTCCGCCGAAAATCGATAAAAACCGAGTAACACGGATAAACGAAAGTAGCAGTAGCAGACCCATCAGGAGCAATTTTTAATTAAATTCTTAAATTAAACCTGAAGTTACCAGGAAATTATGGAACTTTCACCGTAATGATAGAACTTCTATTTACGGTAAAGTTCGTTAGTCAAAAACGAAGAATATCGACTTTTACGTCGTTCGACGTTACGTTAGTTATCTATCCTGATTAGTAACGTTTAAATGAAATGCGAAAATTGTAATTTCTATGTCGAATCGAACGTTCCTGTGATCGACGAATTTTCCAAAAAATTTCCAACGTAATCAGTTGCCACCTGAGCGTGAATTTCGATACAACCGAAAACTTGACCCCCGGATCCATTTCACGGCTCTCCGGTTTATTTCTCGTCGAGTTTCCGCCCGGCCGATTACGCTTCTCGCGGATAATAACGTATATATTCGTCCTGACACGTTGCTGATCCGATAACGCGCGTCAACCATACCGAAATTCCGTCCACGGGACGCGGGTGAAAATTCCTGAAAAACGCGATCCACCCACTCGCTCCGAACGGGATAATAAACTCGTTACGTATGGATTAAAACTGGAAACGGACTAGTCTCCTAATGCTAGGAGCAGGACAATTTTAATTCGTATTTCTCGCGTTACTCGTCAATAGAACAGAGTTTTAGCACGTTGCACAAACGAGATGAATACGACTTACCGTCTCACGTACGACTGTTGATATGTCGATACAAAAAATGAAGGCTGATTCCATGCTATTCTTCATGAATAGTACTGGATTAAACTTAAATTTTAGCAATTGGAATATTGAAGAACAACAGACATGCTCTTTTATAAAGAGGGAGCCCGTTTACCTAAACGAGCCAAGTTTCATCTCATCATTTTATTCAATCACTTATTTTCCTTCGTTCAATGTAATATTTATTGGTGTATACATTAAATTATTGAGGTGAGGATTAAAAGGTGATAACTCTCGATCTCAAGTACCCATCCTCGCAATTGGTAATTTGGTTAAGGGTCGTAAAATAAAAATGCCAAGATTTGTTTCCAGTCATTTACTAATTAAAATCCAGCCGACTTTTATTCAAGTGAAATTGAATCAAGTAATATTCATTAGTATATACTTCAAATTATTGAAAGATCAAAGTACAATTTAAAATACATAAATTCTAAACTAATCTGTAGTTCTTCACGTGGTAAAAGCTGAGACTTTGGAACTTTGACGTGGAGGAAATTAAGATTTTATACGATTGCAAGCAAAGCTCAAAATTTTATTAACACTAATATAAATTCCGAATATTACATAATTGATATGAAAATAAAAAGATAAGGCAGAATGTCAGATTTTGCTTACATAGCCAGTGTTTGAGTCAAGTAGCCCTGCACGAGAATGACTATATCTGTAATAATCACTGCAAGTCGTTCCGCGATGCATAAGCACAGCGCTTTTAGAAAGAACAGATTACCGTTCCATACGACAAAAGATAGGCCGTCCAAGATACAGGACCCAAACTCTAGTCAATTGGTTGACCAGAACTACAGTTTATCCCACAAATACCCAAGCAAAATCTGACTGTTAAACTACTATTCGCAGCGCTGATATACTAAACGCGAGCAAAATTGATTGATTGAAATGGATGGGAGAGAAGAATGAAGTTGAATTCGTTGTAGAGTGGAATTTTTGGGAACGCACACCGCATACGCAAAGCAATTACAAGCTATTACGTACACCAAATAGGAAAACTTTTAAGTTAACTTATGTATGTTTACTTAAACGTCGAAAAAGAGGGAAATTTGCAATCACAGTAATACGTGTACTTATTAACTATGCGTCGAGTCGTCCTCTTGTTCTTCCATTTCTTGGAGCTATCGAAGCCGTTCTTCTTGTATTTCTTGATAAAACATGATCCCAGATAACTTTGAACTGAAAGAACAAAGTTCTCTTTATTTATGGATGATAGTACTGGATATTTCATCTAAGAGAAGGTAACCACTGATTTTAAGTAGCCACCCCCAGGATTGATCCAGAGCCATGCGCATAGAATAGAAACACCGAGACCTTTTTCTATTCATTTATTAATCGCAATTTACCCGTTTTACAATTCATTGCAATTAACTGTAATTAAATGAAAAATTTAATTGTTTCATTTATTCAGTTTCCTAACAGTAGGATTGGTTTTCGTAATGTACGTGGTATAAGGCAGTTTGAGGATTCGCGCATCGATAAATGATTCGCATTCTTAATTTAGTCCCGTCGGTACATAAAAGAGGAATTGTTCGCTGAATAACGGGAATGTGGATGAATTATTAAAAATAGCGAGACGGACTCGGTTCCGAGAGACAAATTACCATTCGATTCTACTACGATCGAGCTCCGTGGGTCTCGTTTGAAGGGTGAATTTCACCGGGTTTCCCGGGCATCAATTTTCCCCGGGAAAAGTCCACATAGTCCGCGGCATAAATTTCCCTCTGTATTCGGGCTATCCGACGAACTTAACCTCG